TTTTCTTTTAAATAAGTAGTAACAAAAGGGGGGTTTAGATTTGTTTGCTTTAAAAACACTAAGATAAACAACCTATATGAGTTTAATTCAATGAGATGAAGACTTGGTTTTGCTTTTATCCACTTAATGAAATGTTCGTCGATCCCGGTTATATCTTTAACTATCTTCCTCTCGAATACTCAATTGAGGAGTATATCCAGTTCATCGAGGGTAGTTATTAATAACGAGATGCGTTCATTAATAAAACTTACTATCGAGTCAATATAGAACAAGCGCCGTATATTAACTTGATAGTAGCAATAAACTTAAGATGAAAACGATTGAGATTGATAACCTCAACACAAGCGGTTTATTGGTTTAATCAATATAATTAATTCCCCTTGGCATATTAACCATGAGATGCATGCATTAATATTCCAAGTTTACCACCGTTGAAAGAACCGGATTAATAACAAGCGTATTAACCGATTGATTCTAGTAATAATTAATATGAGAAACAATACTAGTTGATACTTTAAGTAATGTTTAAGATATTAACATGAAATATGAATAGGAATTAATTAATACTCAAGGAAGAATATTAAAATATATGAATCCTACTATGATTAATATCAAGATGTTAACTAATTGTCATCTTAGTAACACTCCCCAACATTATCATAGAGGAAGAAATAGCTATTACTATAACCAATGTCAAGATGTTAACTAATTGTCATCTTAGTAACACTCCCCAACTTTGATATAGAGATAGTATTTTGAAAGAAAGAATTAATATTCAAGGAAGAAGATTAGAGAAAATAACTCACAACTTACAAATTCATTAAGCTTCAAAGTAGCAAAACCAAGATGGAAGAGTTTAGCTCCTCATTTGGAGACTAAACATGATGAAAAATATAAAGAAAGAGCTATTCTATACTGAGCTTAGATGTACAAAGGAATTGGATATCTTTTTGTGAAGGAAAGGAGGTGTATTTATAGGTTTTTGGGATGGGATTCGGGTACTCGATCGGGTATGTACATGGTACCCGATCGAGTACGTGTGTAACACTCGATCCGAGGCATACTCGACCGGTTTCAGACTATTTTCTAAGAGTATACCCGATCGAGTATATATGAATACCCGGTCGAGTATGCTTAGAAAGTAGTATTCGGGCCATACTCGACCGATCTTCGTTTGCAATTCAAAGGCATACCCGATCGGGTATGTCGGTCTACCCGATCGGGTATAGACATAAAATCGTGGCCAAAATCTTCCCTGCATGTTCCCTTGTCTTCGGATCTGATCCGATTTGAAGTTCCAACCTAATACCCGATCGAGTATAGCTAATACTCGACCGAGTATAGACCAAAATTCAGGATCTTCTTTTGTCTTTGAACTTTTGCACCTTCTCTTCACTTTTTGGGTTCACCAACTGTACTTTGAGTGACCAAAACCTGCTTAAGCTCAGAATATATCTAATCTAACCTATTTACAAGAATTTAACAATCTAATCTATTACACCAAAAGTGTGTTTTCCAAAGTAAAAGTCAAGCAAAACTAATTAAAAACATAAACATAGATATGGAAATTACGAACTTATCAACTATCGAATTAATATACGGCGCTTGTTCTATGTTGACTTGATAATAAGTTTTATTAATGAACGCTTCTCATTATTAATAACTACCCTCGATGAACTGGATATACTCCTCGATTGAGTATTCGAGAGGAAGATAGTTAAAGATATAACCGGGATCGACGAACATTTCATTAAGTGAATAAAAGCAAAACCAAGTCCTCATCTCTATTATTTAAACTCATTTAAGTTGTTCATCTTAGTGTTAATTAAATTAATTCAAATCAAGCTCAAAACCCCCCCTTTCGTTACTGTTATTATAAAAGATAAATATTCCTTTCCCTGCGGATATGAACCTTACTTCATTATACTACGCATATTCGTTGTATTGTATTTAATTTGAGTGCACCTCACGACAAGTGCACGTCATGGGCCAAAGCAGCTCTTCTCCTTCTTTTTCGGCCCAACCCAGGTTGGCCCAATCACCTCAGCCAGCCCAGCAACTCCGCCCGTATCTGGAACCATCTATTAGTGATTACTCTTGTACCCTAGTATATAAGGCCTTTTCTAAGGTCTTACCCGGTTGAGACCTAGATGTGTTGTGTTTGACTTAGAGAGAGAGGGTGAGAGAGAGAGCTAGGGTTTTCTGATACCCTGCTCCTCGTTGTTCCTCTGTGCGACCTCTTCCTCTACTCTGCTCTCCTTGTCCGGTGTGCGTAGAGAAGGTTAAGGCTGGCTGAGTGTGTTACCTTCATTGGTGCTAAAGGTGGTGCTTTGTGTGATCGTTTGAGTGTGGTCTGAGCCGTAGAAGTCAACACCCAACACTTAAAATTTCTTTCATTTTACCTAGGAGCCCGTTTCGGGTTTTCATCCTAGCTCCTCTCTTTTTTTCTCACCAACTCACTCATTTTTATTTGCCACATTTTTTCTTAGGTTGCACTTTCAGGTTTTCAACCTATCTGGCTTTCGTTTTTCTTTTCATCTTTTGTTTCATTATTTTAAACTTTGAATATTTACAAACAAGATAACAAAGCACGAAAGTATAACAAAGTATTGTACGTAAAATGAGCACTGTCTCTAAAATATTTACGAGATATTCACAATACCCTCATGCTTAATACTAGCACTCTCTAGTACTTGCTTCCAATAACATCATCATTGTGGTGAATGCCGCCAAAAGTACCGTACTGAGAGGGGTCATACCAGGAGTGGTGGGCATAATGTTGAGGTCGTCCAAACGTTCAATCTACCTTCGTAAATTTTGACTTGATCGGCTAGGCTATTCATTTGCACTCCCTTTTGTGTCAACGACTAATTTCTTCGGATCCCTATGTGGAGAATCTGAAACATTCATAACGATGGGTTTGGAGAGTGCTTCGGGTGCATTTGAGGATGTCATGCATAGTGATGATGGAGATCAAGTTGTTTTTAAGGTAGAGAAGTGAAGTTTAGTTGAGAATATGTGGGTATGGGATGAAGTAGAGGATAAGAGTGTTTTGTCTCTCGCTTTATTAAAGGAAAAGAAAACAATTAAAAAAATTAAAAAAAAAATTACCCGAACACATAGTTAAAAAGCATTGCCTTCCCCGTCAATGGCGCCATATTTGGCAACACTAAAGTCATATGTGCTTCAAAATAAATTCACTACTAATGACAAACACCGTATTATATATTATAGCGTAGTAGAGTTCGTATCAACATGGAAATGTGCTTTTCGTGTATGTGTAAGCATAATAAATAAAGGTAAACAAAAGGGGGATTGTATATTTTGATACTCCGTAATTGAGAAAGCAAATAAAATACTAAAATGAGTGAAATAAAATATCAAAGGTAACTAGCCTTGGTTATGTTGATAACTTGATATCCACTTAGTGAAGTACTCATTGATCATTGTTACTACTTTAATTATCCCTCCTGAATACTTAATTGTGGAGAAAGTGCAATTCATCTAGGATAACTATTAATAACAAGATACGTTATTTAATAACGCTTACTATTAATTAGTCAATATACAACAAGTGTCATATATTGATCTTACTAACATTTGGTCGATTTAATGAAATAAATTAAGGGTAGCTTGTTAAGGTTCATTTGGATCAATTATACACCTCAATATTGTCCTGCCTGGTTCGGTCTGAAGGGCGTGTTAAAGTATTTGTCCCACATCAGAAAACTTTAAAACAATAAAACACTACTCTATAAAAGACTTTGGGCTACTACTTCTATTAGGTTGACGTTTTAGGATGGAACCCCGGATCTTAACAACGTCGAATGAAAATGTTGTTAGAGATGATTGAGAGTAATAAGATTTAGATGGACATGATACACCGAACGGAATGTACGCGTGAGTGAGATATTATTAGTGATCTAGCATTACGAAAAAAAGAATATGTGTCTCGAGTTAGAGATGATGTGAAGAGAGACAATATATGTTGTTAAAGGTGCTTGTAAACCTGTCTCGTAATTTTCATGAACTTCATTTGGAAAAACATTAAGGTATTTTCGAGGGTGTCACTTTTTTCTTTTGGTGTTACTTTTTTCTTGGAGACGATGTGTTTGTAAGGAACTAATTCCATAATTGAAAGAAGGCTCCTGAGAAATATAGAGATCGAGCACGTGAGAAGTGTATAATAGTGCTAGATTTTAATTTCACAATGGTTGGCTTTTCATGTCATATAATGAGCAAGAAAACTCATTGAATATTCAAAATTTCTTGAAATTTCTTGATGTAACAAAGGTTATTTGCACCATCAAAGCTACTCAGTGTTGTGGAGTTATATTCATGTGATTTTTAAACTATTGAGCAAATGGAACTTAAAAATTAAAACTAACTCTAAATTTGGATATATGAGATGAGAGGGAATGAAATATATCCTACCTTGTAAAGTTTTGGTGAAGTTTCTATGAAGATGATTGAGATTAGAATTCATAAATCTTTTCACTTAGTATATCATCTTATTGAGTTGGCTTTAGTTGAAGGGGCCTTCATTCTCTGTGATGAATATTATCAAGACATAACTTCCCAATAAGATGAGTGATGACTTTCTTACTCTTAGTGTGTTGTATATAAAGAGATATTTTTCATACAATTGATAATGAAGTTATATATTATGCAACATTTCAACATATGAAAACTCATAGTATGATTTACCGAGGTTGCAAAAATTTGTGAAGTAGTATGTAATTGATTCTACTTGTACTTCAATTTTAAAGCGGAAGTAGAATTGATCAGAATCAATTTTACAGAAGTTGGTCTCCCCAAACTTCTAAAAAACTGATTCTATGAGCATTTTAGAGCACTCATAAGTACTTATGCATTTTCACCCAACCCCCCCCCCCCCCCCCCCCCCCCCAAATGAGGAAGGACGCTCCCTGAAAGAAAAGACACTTTTTTAAGAAGTAGATCCAAACACTCAATAATGAACTATGATTAGTGTTAATGTATTAAACTTCAAGTAAACAACACTATGTAACTTTTAATCTTTGACAAACTTCTAGCACGCATCTATGAAACATATATATAGTCCAATTTTCATCCTTCAATAGATATACTTTATATGATATACTCAGGTATATCATACGGAGTACAAAAATAGGCTAAACATATGTATCAAAATAATGTGCACTTTATAACTTTTATTGTTAGGAATATGCACATCCAACATATAGAGTTAGTTTTAGAGCATTACATAATTTAAGTTCTCACTTTATTATAGTTTAATTTAATTGAACACAAAAAATAAAGAAATTCCATGCATATACCCCGCCTTGAATTTTGCTCGGCTCCAAACCATTGGGAGACCAAGTCTTTGTTTAGTCGTTACTACTCTTTCTTAAAGGTGAATATATATCCAAAATTGGACTTCTAAACCTCTCCATTCATTCTCAACTTAATAACACAATATATTTATATGCTACTCCATGTATTAAAGAAAAGTTACCTCTCGTTCTCTATCTCTCCTTCCCTATTCTTTTTATACCTTCCATTCATTAACACTTAATTATAGTTAGTTTGGTTTTGGTGGTGGGTGGTGGAGGGATAGAGATGGATGTTCTAGAGGAGGTGGTCGGAGGTTCAAAGGATCTCTCCCACCACATTGTCAAGGGCAAAAGAACCAAACGTGTGAAGCCCCATTCTCCAATCTCTTTCACCATGAATAACACTACTCCAACACCTTATTCTTCCCCCGGAGAGGAGGACAACAACAATACCGCTTCCGGAGCATCTGCCTCCGGAAGCGGCTCCGCGACGTTCCGCCCTGACATGCCCACCGCGGACGACGAGGATATGGCTCGGTGCCTCATGCTCTTGTCCCGAGGTGGGACATCGAAGGAAGTAGAAGATAATGGCGGTGTTTATAGTAACAGTAACAACAGCAACAACAAATTTTGTAGCAAGAAGTACGTAGAGGCAACCACCGTGGGCGGCGGCGTGAAAGTTGGGATGTACGTCTACGAATGCAAAACATGCGGCCGCACATTCCCAACGTTTCAAGCGCTGGGCGGACACCGGACCAGCCACACAAAGGAGAAGCCCGCGCTGACGATCGAGGCGGCGAAGAGACCGGCCGCGTCAGCCTTGTACGACGGAGGCGACGAGGATTTTGATCCGACGCCCTTCAACAAGACCCCCAAACTCTCCGCTTTCTCCTCCCTACAATTCCATGAATCCACTAATAAGTCTTCTCCGAGAGTTCACGAGTGCTCTTACTGTGGCGCGGAATTCACGTCCGGGCAAGCGCTCGGCGGCCACATGCGACGCCACCGCGGCGCCGCCGTTACTGCTACTACCGCTTGCAGCATAGACAAAAGGGTATTCCAGAAGGTAAACAATGACGAGTGTTTGAATTTGGATCTCAATCTCGCCCCTGCAGGAGATAATAGCAAAGATCGTCACCGTCTTGGTCAAGAACAGCCGGAAAATCAAGAGCAACAAGCGCCACCGGAAAAGTCAACGACTTTTTTGACCGCCACCACACAACTGATTGGCTGCAAGTACATATAAATAAAATATTTATATTATATTTATGTTTGTGTATATATAGATCTAAATTTTGGCTTTGTTTGGTAATTTTTTAAAACATTGACTAAGCTCGCATACCTATAAGATAACTATTTTGTTTTGTTCCAAAGAAATATGACTTATTTAATACTAATAAATGAATAAATGAGTTATATTTTGGAAAATTTCTGATGGTACATACTATTTGAGCTGTTGTTTGTGGTTCTATTTAAGAAATTTTTAAAATTTTTATTTCACTTTCTTGTCATTTAACCACATTAAATACTGCATTAGTTTTATAAATACGGAGTACTAGTGTACTACGTAAGATCGACTCTTTGATTTGCATTGCGTTCAAATTTTCTGTTTATAATTAGCTAGGTATATACTATATACTAGCTATATGTTGTATAGAATTTGTAAGATAAAATCATAGAAAAGAGTCTAATATATAAACTCGATCAACGATATAATGTCATGCATCATGCATGCATGCATAGACGTATGGAGGATTGGAAGAAATTATTTGGGAAAATTCCCGAAATATAAGTGTGAGAATTCCACAATAGAACTGTTATGCTTTTCTTCCTTAAATAGGAGTAAATAATGCCAAATTTGGAAAATAATGCGAAGTTTAACGCCCGGTACTAACAAAACATGGTAGTAATTACTCTTATATAGAGAATAGAAACGTAATAATCCTATTTTAGAATAATATGCAGCCCTAAGCCCGTCCCGTAACTACACTTATTTAAAGAGAGGTATAAGCTCAAACTCGAAAATAATGTCGGGGAGGAATTTCTTGGGTGGTCGCCGGAGGCTAGGGGTGGTTGGATGGGTGCCGGGTGGTCGCCGGAGGCTAGGTGGTTGTTGGATGAGCGCTGGGTGGTCTCTGCTATCTGGCCGCTCCGTCCACACTCCAGTGCTCCACGCACAGTAGCGCAGATACAGAGATAAGAGTGATTCTTGGTATTATTAGCCTTCATTTGTTTAGCCGTCCTATTTTTTTTTTTTAAATTAGCGCCATTGTTGGCGCATGAAAGCGAAAGCGAGGCGATAGCGCAGAGTTGGCGGCGCCAACCGTATCCCCTGCACAATAGCCATATTTCCTGGCGCCGACGTTCTGAATCGCCAAAGGCGCTAAATGGCGATCGCCAAATGCGCTATTGACTACTATGCCTAGACCAGATCCGTTGTTTCATACCTGGGCTTAGGACTGGCCTTGTCGGTGGGTTTGAGTTCCCGGTCCCAGGTTACCTATTTTGGGACTGGACCGACTCACCGACCCGGGTCCACACCTAGGACCAGCCAGTTCCAGTCCCCAAAATCCCTTACCAGAGAGCGGGTAAGCTAACCCCCACCCCTACTACGGATCCAGCCGGGAATCCTCTGGACCAGTCCCAAGACCGGCCACCCCTACCTAAACTTGCCGCCGCTGGTCACTGTAACATACGAGTATATGATCGTGTCACTCAAATTGGCAGCATTTCACTGGGTAATATACTAAAAGTGATACTTAGAGTCTCTTTTTTAAAATTCTAAAGAATCACATATTTATTTATGAGCAGAGGAAAATTCCTAACAATAAAGACATAGTGACTCCTACATTGTGCTAGTTCAATGGAGCTCTCAAAAGGAGCTTGGTGTTTATGTATGCAAACATGTTCTTCCACTGCCCAATAAATAGCTACAGAACCTTTAAAAGGCAAAACTATGCAGGAGGGAAAGCGACGATGAATCTACAAATGCGGATTCATCTACAGAAGAAATGTACATAAATCCTCTTGTAGTCTAGCAGATCTTTATTCAAGTCAAAATTTATTATTACAAAACTCTAAATGATCTGTTGAAGTTGTCCACCATTGACATTACCTTGTGATGAATAATTGCTGTAATACAGGGAAGGGCTCTCTTTAAAGTTCCAGTACTCACATCTCTCCAGGAAGCATGGTATCCCCAGGCAAATCACACACAGCTATGCCCTATATGAAACAAATGAATAATATTCATTCATGTGACTGACTATTGAAACAAATTAAAGACTCAAAAATGCCAAGTTGATTGATGTGTTATTTGGTTTATTACCTCTCCAGTAAGATGAGCTACACATTTCTTCTCAGCCAGCAACTCAGCTTCAGTCTGCAGAACGAGTTTACATATTTATATTCTCATCTTTGGGTGGAATTGATGGTTAACAGGTATTAAAACTTGATTTTCAGATTTTGTAACGATCCCACACCGGTCAAGTATGGGCTTGACCGGTGACTTATAAGCAAGGTGTTCCCTCCTCCTAATCGGCTGGTCTTTTGGGAGTGAGTTCTACACCTAAGGCTTATGGTATTGGTATGGGCCTAGTATGGGCTAAGTTCATAACAGAGATCTAGTTCAACTTGATATAAGGAGCAACCCAATGGCTTTTGGGTGCTCATTTTTAGTCTTAGTTGGATTGATTGCGCATTTGAGCTTAACTGACTGATATTATATTACCTTCTTTATCCGACCTCGGAGGTAGTCATCAATTATAACCTCCTTCACTAGTTCGTAATCACCATCTCCCTGGAAAGAGATAGTAAATAACACAATGAGTCACGAATGAAGGAACAAGGTGAATCTCTGATGATAGGCTTACTTTTGATCTGCATGGCATGCTGAAAACTATATCCTCTGCTATTCCATAAGGGTTTCCATTGGTATATACCTGTACAATATTTTTATTAAACAGAAGATCAGTATTTTGGGTTTCATCACCTGATGCCAATAATAATGAGATTATGAGAAAACGACAAAAGGGAGTAAAGCTAGCTCTAATTTCATTTATAAGGCTTGATTTGGTATCAATAATCGGCTTATTCTGCAGAATAACTAGTTTGTTACTTTGTCACCAGCTTATTTGGCAGAAGGTGACGCTACTACACACTTTTAGTTAAGAAAATGCAGCAGCTCCAATTCAGCCAAAGAACTCTTACCAAACATGCCCTTAATATATGCCAAAACATCTTGCTTATATTATTGGTTACATATCTACATTATACAAAAGTGAAATCCATATTTCTATTCATTCACAAAAAGTGAAGCAATAAAACAAAATGAGCATTAAAGTAATTTGAGCAACCTACAGATCGGTTTGATCCAGCTCATCGGCCTATAATTAATACAACCAATTTTCTGATCTTTCCACACTTATCTCTCCCTTGATGAAATATATAATCTACAAACTTACACCAGAAGAGAACCAATCGCCTTCAGGTGTTGGAGTGACGAGAGACTTCATGGCATCGACAATTGATACAGCAGTTGATGCAGCAGAAGATCTTCCCCATTTTTGAATAAGTGCTCCACCTCTCTACAAAACCAAGTATTGAACAGTATGTACACTAAGGAATGACATGTTAAGGACCAGTTTGGATAGTTGGTTTAGGAGAGGGAGGCTTTAGAGGGCTCAGTCTAAATCCTGACAAATGGAATGTTTCAAAAACTTATTAAGTAATTTTTTATAAAAGATGACAAGTCTTTACTTTGTAATTTTTTACAAGGGAAAAATAATAAAAATACTCCAAACTTTGATGGGGTGTGAAGTAAACACCCCAAACTTGCGTATGTAATTTAAATACCTCAAACTTTATATAAAAAGTTACTTTTGAAACATTGTTATGTATTATTTCTTTCAAAAATGTAAATATATGGGGTTAATTGCATAATTTAAAATAGCAAATTAAAAGTGTTGCAACTATATAGATTGGGGATAACATTATTTATTTTGCAATGGAAGTTTATAATGTTAATTGTGTCTTCATGAATTCTAAAATATTTTAAATTATGCAATTAGCACCATAAATTTACATTTTTGAAAGAAATAATACTCGTCTTTGGTGCCAAAATAACTTTTTATATAAAGTTTGGGGTATATAAAATACATATGCAAGTTTAGGGTGTTCATCTCACACTCGTTCAAAGTTAGGGGTATTTTAATTATTTTATAGACAGGAGTATGACTTGACTTTTGCAGCTCATGAACTATAAGGTGCACTTCCACAGTAAGGCAATAGGCCAATAACGATGGTAATACTCAATTTTACTATGAAGTGTTGTAGTCATATTTTTGTGCATAAATTATACTACGTATTTGAGTAGTATTATAGGAAAACCTTTCTATCACTGACTATTTATGCCTTCCATTTTATACAAAGTCATAAATATATAACAAAATATAGACTTAACACACCATCCAAACTGATGCTAACAACATATAAGCAAACCATGAGAAACTCAACATTACGATATTACCTTCTGAACCTTTTCTGTAAACTCTTGCTCCAGCCACTTAGTATCTTTAATGACCTCTTTTACAGGCACCCCATTTATTTTAGCATTTAGAAAGTCGGGAACCTGATTAAAATTTGACAAGAATGTTAAGTTGGGCAGTCAATCCATTTAACTAGGCCAAATGCCCAAAAATGACAGTGGGTTTTCAACCAAAAAAACTTATTGACCCTATACTCCTCAGGCTTCACACTTAGCTCCTAACTATTAGGGGAACTTTGAAAATGACCACAAACTTTTGGAAAGGTTCTGATTGACTTTGGACATTCAATGTATGCATCCATGCAGGCACTTGTGAAAATACGTATGTTAAGTGAATCAGGCTAACTCATCCCGAAAAAAGGATCCTCATTCCTCAAGAAGTAACATTTACCTCATATTTACATTAAAAATGAGTTTTTACCATTGGTGCTATGCTTGTCATCTCTTGTAACTTTATTTGCATAACTAATCATGTTCAAGTTCGAGATGCACTCTGTAGACAGGCACATCCAAGATCAATCAGGACCTTTTGAAAGTTTAGGGTTAACAGTTTGTTTAGAGGCTAGAAATGATGTTTCTAGAATTTAGAGTCAAATGGGGGTTTTGGTTGAAAGTTCAAGATCATTTTGGGTACTTCCTTTATTCTTGCTTTACGAAAGTCAGAAACCTTATTACTACCTCCGTCCC